AATCCTGTCCACATCATCAGGAGTCACAGCATCAAACTCCTCCCAGATAACATTCTCAAGACTATTCCTCGTCACCCTGCCCTGATCTACCCAGTCAGAGTCCAAATCCCCCCGGATCTGGGCGATTTTGTCATACAGGTATTGTCCGAAATCCTCCGCCCTGCCTTCTAAGGGATCCTCCCGCACTCCCGGATGGAGCAGGGCGCGGGTCACCCTAAACAGGGCGGCCGGACGATTCCCTGATGACGCAATAGAGGCGGAAAAGTAGTTAGACTTTGCCGTCTCTATCGCCACTAGGTAGGCCTTAATATGCGACCTTACCAGTGTTCGATCAGATTCAGCGAGACTGGCCCTCCAACCGCTCTCCAGGCGTCTTTTCCGGCGCTTCATTTCCCTCAGCTCCTCAGTAAACCAAGGAGCCGCACGGGATCGGATCGGGTCAGAGGCCGCAAAGGCACAACTCGGTCCAAGGCCCCACCAGCCGCCCGATCCCAGGCGGCTACCAGGTCCTCGGCCGAGTCATGTGCTAGATCCTCAGGAAATGGCCCAAGCTCCGTCTGGAACCTATCAGGATCCATCAGGCGCTTGGGGCGGATCCATCTAATTGGATCCGCCTCCCTGCGGCGAGGGGTCGCGGTTCGAAGATCTAGGCGAAGGAGTGAGTGGTCAGACCATGACAAGGGTTCCATGTCTATATCCCCTATAACAAGACCACTCAACCACTGGCCAGAGACAAAAATCAGATCCAGAGTGTGACCTCCCCTGTGAGTAGGGCCATGAACTAACTGGGTCAGGTCCATGGCCGTCATGGAAGCCATGAACTCCCGAGCCACCTCAGACGCTTCACCGACGGATGGCAAGTTGAAATCACCCATGACTAGAAGCCTGGGTGTATCTACTGCCACCGTGGCTATCACGTCGAGTAGCTCAGGTAGGGCTGTTGCCACGCGGCAGGGAGCCAGGTACGTAAGCAACAAGCCCATCTGAACCCCACGGCCCCACCTCACAAGGAGGGACTCACATCCGGCTATCTGAGGCACAGCGGTCTCCCTCGGACCCAGATCCTCGTTAATAATAACCGCCACCCCCCCTGCCCCTCCCCTGAGCCCTCGGCTGATGGAATGCTCTGAAGCCTGGTGGGCACATTTCAACCAGAGGGACGCCACCCTCCGGGCCCAACCAGGTCTCCGTAATACCCGCCAGGTCCGCTCCTCCCTCTTGTATAAGATCGTGGATGAGGGGGGCCTTATTGACCACGGACCTGGCATTGCACAGCATCAGCCGAAGGCCCAGCTCCTGAGTATCTAAGCCACCTAGTGTCCGAGCAGAGCCTTGGGGACCGGGGCAAGCAATTGCTCTCAGACAGCAAGTGCGAGCCCCCAGCACCTGATGTGGTCCCCTGCTCCCACCATATCTGCCCCACCCATTCACCCATTCATGGTATAGCCCTCATAGATATTGTCCCCCATCCCTTTCCCAATCCCTCGTCCGGTGCCCCCGGAATCGTTACCCTGTGCCGGGCACGGCTCTGACCCTGGTGGATTTCCCCCCCAATCCGCCCTAGTCGTCTTCCCAATATCTTTAAAAGAATAATTACAACCCCCTCCCCCAGAACCCCTTAAAATCTTTAAAAATTTCCCTAAAAAGCCCCATAAATTCTTCCTTGCTCCATGCCATCTCTCCGGACTCCAAAGTCCGTCATCGAGATAGGCCCTCGATAATGTGGGGGGCCAAATCTGCGAGAGGGGAGAATCTCGCAGGGCGAGGAGTTCCGACACCGAGTACATATAGCTATCAGGGGAAACAGTCCAAGGGTGGGGGACCACTGATGTTATAAGCGTAGGGAAAATTCCAGTCCATGGTCAGGTTGCCAAGCTCCACTGTCCTCTCACGACAGTGGGTAAGGAGGTACATATCATTCGACCCCGAAAGTTCCAGGGTGGCCGTCTCTCACCAGGCCAATCCATGGAGACTTTGATAGAAAGCTCAAGGGTGAGGATAGCCATATTCCGCCTCCTCGGCCCCATGTCCATAGAACCAGTATCCCTCCTGGGATTAGCAGCATCAGGGAATCCAATATCCAGCTCAAAGGAGGTTTAAGTTCGTAAATGTTCGTCAGAAAAGTTCTACATGGTAGGGAATCCAGACAGGCCAGATGGAAATGGGAAAAAATTAGGAGTAGTTCAGCAGGCCAAGGTGGATGGGAAGCTATGATCGTAGTAGGCCAATAGGCCAAAACTCAGTCTGAAGGAAGGAGGGGGGGGGATTCAAACCGCATAAGTTTGTAGTCATTTTCCAGCCCCAATAACCCTCAACCTTCCATTCTAGAGGGTAAAGCTCCCCAATTTCGCCCCCCCCATCCAGCTCACCCTGGGGGGGGGTCTCTGGGTCTCCCTGGGGGTAACCCTTCCCTCAAGGGTCATATACTCTCCAGTCACCCCAAAATCTGACCTAAAACCGCTGCTGAAGAGTCCTAGGCCGTCTGTTTGGAAGTCTTTAGGCCCTTGGGGGCCGCCCCAACCTTAGGTGCCCCCGTCACGACCACCGCCGCGGCCTCCGCAGTCCCCATCGCCATCGGCCCCCCCACGGACGTCCCCAGCCGCCCCCTGCCTCCAAAGATCCACCTCGAGGCATCCAGGGGCGTGGGGAACCTCCGTAGGGGCCTCACAACGCCGACGTCGTCCAGGAGCTGCCGCCGCCGCCGCCATGACCGCCCGCGACCGCCGCCGCAGGTGCCGCTCCCCTGCAGGCCGCAGACCGCCGTCACCCACCGCCGTCCTGACGTCATCCCCCTCAGCGCTGGGATGGTCCGGGGAGCCGACAAAGCTTCCAACGGGCTCCTCAGATGCTGCTTCGTCTGGGCGGGGGGTCATAGATGTTCCAAATGACCCCCCTGAGCCCCCCCAAGCCGAGGCATTGCCCCCAAGAGGCCGAGACTCAGTGCCGGAGCGCCATCTTGGGGCATGCGCAGAAGAAGCAGATTTTGTAAGAAGCAGATTTATTATATATATATTATATATATTATATATATATATATATATATATATATATATTTATATTTTTGTAAGAAGCAGATTTTGTAAGAAGCAGATTTATTATATAAGAAAGTATAATAACATATTATAGAATAACATATTATTTTGTTCTATAATGTAACATATTGTATTATACTATGTTATAGTATTATATTGTATTATATATTATACTATGTTCTATTCTATGTTTTAGCTTTTGGGGAAGGGGTGCTAAGCTATGTTATCTTAACAGCTATATGATGAAGGTTTGCCATTGACAGATCTACCAGATCTAAACTTCTTTAGCCTCCAAGCCGGGGGCGGGTTTCAAAACCCGTCGCTACCGGTTTGCTCATGGGCATGCGCAGAAGCATCCGGGCAGGTGGGCAGAGCCTCCTGCTGCCACTGCTACCGGTTTGCCCAATCTGGGGTAAACTGGTAGGACCCCATCATTGCTCCAAACCCAGGCAAGGGCAACACATAATACAACAAAAATTAAAACTAGCTATTACAGTATTGAATGGAACTGCTATTGAGGTTTAGAATGTAAATGGAGAATTAAGCAACTATTTAGTATTTTAACAGAAAAAAAAAATGACTTAGCTAAAGCTACAACAGTTTAATAATTTAACTGAGACAATGACTTCATTAAAGCTCTAAAATTATTAAATTAACATATTGGATTATTTTGATATTGACAAATGTATACTGTCGACATTAGAATCCCACAGATTCATATGTACCACTTTGTTTTTTTCCTACTGGGATTTTATATATATATATACTTAACAGCTATATAACTAACAACTTCTTCCTGCATTGCATGGAGGACAGTTGGTAACCTCCACACAAGCATAATGCATGTGGCCATTACAGTACATAGTTCAAAGCCAATAAATTACTACTAGGAATGGAACACCGAGCCCAAGTTGGGAGCAAAGACTGTTGGGACAAAAGTTGATGAAATACTTCTACACCAATTTGCAATGTACAGCTGCCTGTTTCATTAACTGAAGCTTCTTTCACATGGTGACTCTACAGAACTAGATTCTTGAGTAGCTGGTTTCATGAATAGTAGACTCTTTTCTTCTTTCACAGGTGTCCTTGAAGTATTCTGTTTCATTCCATTATTATAAATATTCATCCAATGGGTGTATTTTTAATGGTTTTTCTCTTACATAAGATGTTAATGTAGTGAGAATGACCCTTGATGGTATAAAATCCTTCAGCATTGTTTGCAACAATATCACGTTCAGAGTCATAAGGAATGCATTGTAGGACCCAGCCCCACAAAAAAGCCTCTTACTGGAGATAAAAGTTTCCCTGTTTGTGTCTCTGCTGTGGTCACCTGTCTCTTCTGATTTGATTGCCAAGGTCTAATACTTTACAATTCACATTGCACAGTTTTAGACCTTTCTTTCCTAACAGCTTATCTCTGCTGATTGCATTTTAGAAGACAAAAAACAAAATTCATGTGTTTCTTAAGGACATTATGGAGTTTAAGTGGAAAATGTTTATGTGCAAATCTTTGAAAGGCAAACCAAGGTGGCGCAGTGGTTAGAGTGCAGTACTGCAGGCTACTTCAGCTGACTGCTAGCTGCAATTCAGCAGTTCAAATCTCACTGGCTCAAGTTTGATTCAGCCTTCCATCCTTCTGAGGTGGGTAAAATGAGGACCCAGGTTGTTGGGGGCAATATGCTGACTCTATTAATCACTTAAAGAGAGCTGTAAAAGCACTATGAAGTGGTATATAAGTGCTATTGCTATAAAAAGCTATTCTCTTTTTTTTTAACAGATTTTCTCGAGGAATCATAAACCTTGAAAGAAGTAGCCATTTCAGGAATTAATTCTTCTCATACCAATCTCTCTCGGTACATCAGCTGCAATATTATTATTTTTTTTTTAAAAAAAAAACACAAGTTCTTCTTTCTTCCTCATTGCTTCAGTTCACCAGAAGTTGTAAAGTTAATAATAATTAACAATCAATAACAATCAGGGAAGAAAAAGAGATAGAGAGAGTGAGAGAGAAAAAAAAACCTCCTAAAATTGATCCATTGTATGACATTCAATCCCTGACATGAAGATGCACAATGTATTGAACCTTGTAATAGTTCACAACCAGTATAATAGGATGACACTGACAAAATTGTATAGGAAACAGACTTATTGTAATTAAATTGCAGCTTTCAGCACGAATATCATCCATCTAATACACAGCACACAAAGTGAATGGAAGCGTGCAAACATGATTGTAGTGTTTACAACAAACTAATCAAGACTTCAAGCTCCCTGTTAACAGCAATATATCTCGGGATACAAGTCAGCAACCAGTTCCTGCAGTGTTCTGCATTTTGACTGTGGATTTATGGGAAGCCAAGCTAAGTTTTTGTAACTCACATCAAATACCTGCAAAGTCAGAAGGAAATGGAAATGCATTAATAATTGTCATTCATTCAAAAAAAACAAAAAAAAAACCTCACACACATCATGTTTTCTGGTATATGTTTATGAGGGTTAAGGAAATGCATGCTAGAAATACAGAGGCTTGAAAAGATGAAGTATTTTTTTTTAAAGAAGGCTGATTGGATTGGGCAAGAGCAGTGTATTCATTTCAGAATATGTCATTTAAATGTTTGCTGTCACTTGACAGCGATAAAAGAATAACACTGCTGTTAGTCATTGAAATCCCTATTAGGACTGCAGAGAAATGCTATGCATGTTTACTCAACAAAAGTAAAGCCAACTGCATTTGGGCCTTCTTCCTAGACAAGCAAATACAGAATTTATTCACATTAAACAGGATGGACTATAAAAAATACAGCAATCTTCGCTATTGTGCTCATTCAAAAAACCTGCCCTCAGAAACAATTGACATGCACTAAACAGCAGGCAATCCCAGTTAGAACATAGGGGGCAGTCTTGAGCTGGAGGGCTAAATCTGCCAATCTGCCAAACAGCTCCTATAAAATTTATTCTCCGCAAACCTGAATGCCAACCTTTCTACACTCCAGGAGGAGACTTCACTTCTTTGGAGTAGATCCAAATATGAAAAGAAACATTTCTAACTATGAAGCTTTTACTGTAACAACACAGAGGCACATGAGTTGTATACAGACTGATACATTAAGAATTCTGTATTAAGCTATGGGATGAAGAGTTCAGAAACATTCGGAAGCTTTTCTTCCCCACTGTTTCCGATGTGCTCATTTTAATGGCCTTGGTCAGTGTTTCCTGTACCTTTGTGAGTTAGGACTTCCAACTGTTTTTTTTTTCCTCAGTGTCTCACCCTAGTCAGTGTTCTGTCCTAGGTACCCTTAAAAATCAGGAAGCAGAGACTTGGTCCTGGCAAAACCTCTTTTTTTTACACAACTGTGAATTACATTCATTCACAGTCAGCAAGGCTTGTCCAAACAGTTTTTCAACACACTTTATCTCGCTTGGCAAGTTGCCACATAACTTGTTTCCAAATGCAGAGTAAGGCAAAACTTGGCCCAGAGTCTCTTAGAGTCACAAACAGAACTTTCCACTCTTGAAACGACCAAACGAATGAATTGTTTCCTGCAAAAGCCCCCTCCCCATTCACTCCTCTTTTGTTTCCTGTGGGAGGGGCCAATCATCTCCAAGATGTGGCTTTATCCCCAAGTCGACCCTGCTTTCTTAGTTGTTCGTGTCTTCTGGCAGCTCTGTGCATGCGCACACTGGGAATGGGCTCCAGCTTCCCTCTGCTTCACTGCTGTCTAGCTCCCTCTCTGCCTCTGACACAGAGCCCTCATCTGAGCTTTCCCCAGCCCCCAGGACTGGCCCAGGTTCCTCCCCAACCTCCTCACTGACCGACTCTGCTGCCAACTCTGCTAGCTGCCGGAGGGCCACAACAGTCAGTTTTTTCTTGAGCTAGAGCTCCATGTTGCTTCTTTGCCTCTTCTCACAAATGAAATGTCCAGCTCTTATATCACATTGACTCAGCTGCTATAGCTTACACCAAGCTTCATGGGGAGATGTGCCATCTTGATCATAAGTGTTCTCTGTGCATTAGAGAGGGGAACTTTCAAATGTTCTTCCTTTCCTGTTTCTCTCTCCCATTCATCTTCTTTTCATCCCCTTACCCCCACCCCAGATTTGGGGGGGGGAGAGAAAAAGAGATGATAGATAGATAGATAGATAGATAGATAGATAGATAGATAGATAGATAAATAGATATATATATAGGAGACAGAGATGATAGAGATAGATAGAGATAGATAGATAGATAGATAGATATGATAGAGATAGACATATAGATGATATATAGAAATATAGAGATACAGGAGAGAGAGGGAGAGAGGAAGAGAGAGAGAGGGAGAGAGGGAGGGGGAGAGAGAGAGAGGGAGAGAGAGCTCTTTTTCTGCTTTCCCAAACTATATTCCTTATGTTCATTCTATCCCCTCTCCTGTTTTCTGAACTTTAGGGCTGTGGCAAGTTAAACTACAACCTACAATCAGCATGTTTCACAAGAAAATATTCTTCATTCTTTCCAGATCTGTACCTGAGTTTACAGACTCAGATCTTGTTTCCTATATCCTGGCATATACAGCTATTAGCTTACAACCTGAACTATTTTGCCTTGCACCCATCAACCCTAAAAAGCACCCGGCTGCCAGGAAAATGTAATTTATCACCTTGTGATACAGCAGATAAAAACCCCATGATCTATATTATACAGATGAAATAGGAGAACAATCAAGGTACTTGACTCCAAGCCTTTGGAGACCACACTAAAGTCCAAGAATTTCCCACAACTATTATTAAGCAGCCCCAGCAAGTAATAATTGCCACTTCTGCCTCCTTTTGCCCTCCATATTTCAGTATTGCAGAATCCCACCTGAATTAATACATTGATTTATTGAAAACAAACATAGCCTTCTCCCAGTTGCAGATTTCCTGTACATTTTCTTTCTCCTCTTTTTTTTTTTTTTTGCTCTAGTTCTCAAGTATATTTCATATTCAAAGTCTATCTCTCAAGGCATTCTTTGAAGCTATAGCCCCCGCATCCATTTGTTTTCACTTCCCTTTTCCACATGGGACAAGGCTTATATACCTTTGGTGATGTCATTAACGGTTGATCTGCTGACAGAACCTGTGAGAAAAAACATGGATAATTCAGGGTGGAAAGTTAGAAACAAACCAGCCAAGACTGGCTAAAACTATAATCTCTGTTGAACTTTCAAGACTGGTATGAGTCACTCCTACAGAATAGCTATCTTGACTGAAACAGGTCATGTCATACTTTGCAATCAACATGATATTAACTAATAATAATGAGAAGGAGGGGGAAGAACAGGAACAAGAAAGGTGGAAATCAGGTTACTGTGACACAAAGAAAAGCCCAGAAATCAAATTTCCAGGCAGAAATCCAGTTTCATTCCTCATAAATTGTTAACTGTGCATGTAACTGTCAGAAGGACACAAGAACCTGTAAACAGCAAGATATTTTCTGTTACAGTCGTCTCGTGAGGTTCTGACTTTAGAAGATCTCCTAGGTGCTACTAAACCCTTACACAGACCATAATGCCAATCTAACTGGTTTGTAAAAAGGGGCTTGATTGCTGAGAAAAATAATCTTAGGTAATGCAGACTGGTCCTGCTGGACTTACAGATTTTGATATGTTATTTAACTACAATTAGTACACATTTATAACTCATTGTTAGAAACACTGCTCTGGAGAAACTGAGATGCTGATGTTGTTGTAAGACTGTTCTGAACCATATTGATTTGTAATTACAAAGTATGACATGACCTGTTTCAATAAGGAAAGAACCCAAAGCTGTGGGAAAGAACACAATGTGCTATGATGCATGTTCATCACTTGTTTCAACTTTAGGTAGCCTTCTTCCTTATCTGGGATGACAATAAAGATGCTTATAGGGAAGAGGTGAAGGCTCTGGTGGACTGGTGCAATAAAAATAACCTGGTTCTAAATGTTAAAAAAACAAAGGAGATCTTTGTAGATTTTAGAAAGAGTCGACATAGTCATATTCCATTCAGTATCAAGGATGCAACTGTAGAGATGGACAACAGTATTAAGTATCTGCAGATAACTAACAATCTGAATTGGTCTCTCTACACATCATCCTTAGGGAAGTCTGCAAACCAGCGTCTGCATTTCCTATGTCAGATGAGGAGAGCACATCTTTCTCCTTCTGTCCTGGCTACTTTTTACAGAGGCACGATTAAGAGTGTTTTAACAAACTGCATCAGTGTTTGGTTTGGTGGCAGCAGTGCCTCAGATAGAAAGTCCATACAGAGAGTGGTAAGGACAGCCAAGAAGATTATAGAAAGCTCACTTCCTGTTATTCAGGATACTGCTTATAAGTGCTAAGTGCTTAGAGTTCAAAGCATTGTTAGAGATCCCACACACCCACTTTACTGTCTGTTTCTGTTGCTTCCCTCTGGGAGGAGGCTTTGAAGTATTTCTAGCAGGACTATCAGGTTCTGTAACAGCTTTGTTCCTTATGCCATCCATCCGGGAAACTGGCAAGATTCATTTTTCTCGCCATGTACATGCATACATCTGAACTAGACTGTGCTGTTTCTCTAGGTCATGTAATATATGTGGGTATGTGCATAATTTTGTATTTGTTTGTTTGTTTAGTCATGTTTATGTAGTGTATATTGGAGGTGGTAACCCTTTGAGAGCTGTATGCAACAAAATTTCATTTTAATGTATGCCGATTCGTGTACATTCAGAGTGACAATAAAGTTATTATTCTATTCTATTCTATTCTATTCTATTCTATTCTATTCTATTCTATTCTATTCTATTCTATTCTATTCTATTCTATTCTATTCTATTCTTATTCCTGAATACTATATTTGGAATGTAAGGGGTACCTAGAATATAGGCCGTAGGAATTTAGATGGGACGATTTCAAGAGGAGTAAAAGAAGCGTAAGGTCTTACCTGGCCATCAAAAAATAGTCTTAGCTTAATATAGCTTCAGTGCTGGTGGGATATGCTGTACTGATTTCGTGAAATGAAAACATTAAATTGTTGCCACTGTTTTTGGAACATTTTATATCACATAACTTTGGTGTGCACTGTATTTGGTGGAACTATGAAAAACCATGCCCAAATATTTAAAAGATTTCACTTGATCTATACTCTGGCCATTTATCTTCCAGGCGCCCAGTTTAGGTCTCTTCACAAAGATCAGGATTTTAGGATTATATGGCTATATATCCCCAGGTCAGTAAATGTGCAATTCCAGATATGCTCATTACAGGATTGTATGGCTTATGTATGCTTCCTATATGCTCAGCCAACTTTCCGCAGCTGATGCAAAATCAGAGCTTGGGTTTCTTTAAAACACAGGGATGAGAGCACTGAATGGGGAAAGCTTTACTGAATGAAGCAATATACGTAGTCAGTGCTTTTGCCAAGATCATAAAGAGGGAAGAGAACACACTGCATGCAGATTTTGTATTTACTGTGCTGTCAAATCTCATTGTACATTAAATTGAAAGAACAGTTTTGAGATTCTGATTTGGGAAAAAAAAATCCTTGACATAGCTTTCTTCAAACCAGAATCCTGAAAAAATAGTTACAAGTTCAACATGCTCATGTATAGTAATAAATTATGGGTTAATATATATATAAAGAATGGCTGATGAAAGCTTAGTAGAATAAAATTTTAATTATTTTAGTTCCGGAGTTCGCAGAATATCTGTTTCTTTCTTTACAAATATACCTGGAACTCGTATTTTTAGAATAGTTTGTAATATACATATACATGCACATACATACCAGTATATATGTGTCTCTCTCTGTGTGTGTATGCATATGCGTATGTGTATGCGTATGTATATGTATATGTGCGTGTGGGTGTGGTGTGTATAAATTATATAGAAAAAGCAGGTTTGCAAATTCTTCAAACCTTTCTACTTTTCTGGGACATTTTTTAAAAATTCAATTTTCCAAGTTTTAGATTTTATTTAAAACAAATGGGTACTTCTTTATGATAATCCAAGTTGCTTTAAATGATTATTAGAAAAGAACCTTTAATACGATTGCTAATATTTGAAAATTGATCTGAAACCATGCTATTGTATCAGTGGTGGGCTTAAAAAAAATTTGCTACCAGTTTGGTGGGCATGGCTAGGTGGGGGGCATGTGACTGAGTGGGTGTGGCCAACTTGACATCACTCACACCCATGCCCACTCAGCCATATGACCCCCCCCACCTAGCCACACCCACAGGAAAAGGTAGAAAAATTTTGGGAAATTCTACCCCCGCTTTCCCTTCGCCAGTTGCCCCCATTTCCCCTCCTTTAGCGCCCCCGGCCCTAGCCCTGCTTCCTCCATCACCACCGCCTCTTTGTTCAGGCTGCTTACCTTCCACGGCGGCTGGTCCAGAGTCCAGAAGGCAAGCTGACTAGAATTTTTGGTGGCTCCCAGCCAGCCGCCACTGCTGGAAAGCATCTGGCAAAGAAGCCACAGCTGCAAAGTGGCTCTCAAAGAGACAGTGGCTGGCTGCCGGCTGCTGAAAAATACCAGAGGTTGCAGAAAAAGCTGCTGCCATTGCCGCCATGTTCTTTGCGTATGTGCATCTCACTGGACTTGCAAGGCAATGGGTTGCATATGTACGAAGAACATGGTGGTGATGAACATGATGGGCAGGGCGAGTGAGCGGCAACCGGGGGACTGGTTTGGGGGCATGGCCAGCCAGCCATCGCTACTGGTTCTGTGACCTTGGCCAAATTTCCACCAACCGTTCATACGAACCAGTGCAAAATGGCTGAATACCATCTCTGTATTGTATGCTCTATTGCAACTAGTTCCGAAATTAAAACAATTTCATTTATAGCAGCCAGAGAATAATGGCAACATATACCAAGAAGAGAAGTACAGACAGAAGATGTTCTTCAAGAATCTGATCCAAACATTTTTTTGATTAATACAAAGGAAGAGATTCCCTCTCAATACATTACACACAGAGAGATAGAGACACTCAATATACTGTAGGTGTCATCTATGTTCAGAACTAGAATTACATTAGGATTGTACTGGTTCAAAACTAATAAGCCAGCTTTAACAACTATACTTATAGGCAGTAGACTAATTTAGAAGGCATCAATCTGTCTCCCAACTTATTAAAACTATTTATTCCTTTGGTTGAACATTGGTTGGCTCATCTCTGTAATGGTAGTATCTCTTCAAATAGTTTTTTATAAACAAAGGGATCACATAAGGATCATCAAGGTCTCTCTTTTGATACATTTTCACCCAGAAATGGAGTATTATTGACAATTATATGAGGGTATATCAGTGGTGAAATCTGATCCGGTTTACTACTAGTTTGCTGGCTGTGAATGAGCGCTGTGAGCCAAATGAGCACTTTGTGTGTGCATGCGCAGTGCGCACCATGCGCCAAATGTGAGGTGCGTGTGGGCACATTGCATGCCAAAAGGAGGCATGGGATAAGTAGAACAGTGCACGTGGGGGGGGGTGATCAGCTGTGGTGCACAACCTTTTTTTTTACTTTTAAAAATGCTTTTAAAAGTAAAAAAGGCTCTGATGATCGTGAGGCACAGCTGGGATTGTCAGGTTTTTTTTAACTTTTAAAAGCATTTTTTTTTGTAAAGTATTCGGGCAAATAGGTTGTAAAAATGCTTTTAAAAGATAAAAAAAGGCTCTGATGATAACGCAGCTCAGCTGTGATCGTCAGAGCCTTTTTTTAACTTTTAAAAGCAAAAAAGCAAAACCTTCTGCACATGTGCAGAGGGTACAAAACACATTATTTCCTGGTTAAAACCGGGAAATAATTACAACCAGGCAGCTGGGCGGAGCCTCACACCGCGATCGCTACCGGTTCTCCAAACCACCCGCCATGATCACTACCGGATTGGGCGATCTGGTCTGAACCAGGAGCATTTCACCCCGGGGTATATATTATATTTAAGACTCTGCATGTTTCAGATGAGGTTATTTTTCCCTGAAAAGAAGTTAAAAATTAAAATTTGGAATACAACAATGCACATAGGAAGATAGATATTTCCACAATAAAGCAATGATTTGCATTTTCTCCATAAGAGCTAGAATGACCATATGTCCTTTATTTCAGAAAACTGTTCTTTAGC